AGCACCACACCGGGACTCCCAGGACTCCAATAGTTACTCATAAATAATATTTATAAAATTCTTTGTCTACAAGTTCCGTGGTATGGTGATGGAGGATAAGCATGCTACCATAAGTCAGTTTGAACCATCAACATCCTTTTAATTTTCTCACCAAAATTTAATGTCCCCACAATGTTGTATAACTTTATATTGCTCTATCTTTCAGCTCTTTCCTGGGATTATCTATGGAAACATAGTGTAAAAAAGAAAAACATGATTTTTTGAGTGATTGTTTTCAGTCATTTCTGGACTTAGATCCCAGCTCTAAAACTCACAGTTGGCTTGGGCAGAGGTATCCTTTTTAGTCTATAAAATAATAACTTTGATCCTGAAGAATTGTATAAAGTATAGAATAAACTAATGCATTTGAGAGTATAATATTCGGCGATTACAAACCATTTGTTCATTTCTATCTTCCAGCCTCCCCAAGTCCACTTTAGTCTCTACCTAGCTGCTTGCTCATGTCACAGACGTGAGAGCATGAGCAGAGCATGCAGAAGTTATGTAACATGACAAATATCTGATTACTTTGTCTGTCACATGATAATTTCTATTTACTTGAAACTAATTCCAATATTCTAAAACTTTGCTTCTTATTATGCCCTGAAATGCTGAAATGGAATTAAAAAAGACGAATTCCTTTGAATCTTACCTACTCCCTGATTAATTCTTTGAATTTTATTTTGTCTCTAGTCTTCTCCTCTCAGAGAAATTATTAGTATTCAAGTAACTTACAGAAGAAAATTATTAAGAGAATGGAATAATAAAAAAATAAATAAAAGGGTTAATGTATGTTTCCACTCATAACCACCCTAAATAGGGTTTCCTAGAGTGGTTGGTGGGCTTGACCCATTCATCTTGTGGTTAGTAGTCTAGTAGTTACCCTACAACTCCACACTAGGATTAACACATAGCAGCTAAAATATGTAAGTGAATTTTGTTCTGCATTCCTATTTTTTTTTTCGCTGTTCAAAAGTGCATTGTTACAGAGACTCAAACAAGCATTTTTATATTTTTCTTTGTGTATCTTCCCACTCTTTTAAGTTCCAAATAATTAATTGACTAAGTCTGTTTTTGTGGGTTTTTTTTAATTGAGAACTTACTACTTTGTTATTATTAAGAAGCCAACTTATCTTGTGGGGCACCTTTTTATTTTCTCAGTAGACATCTAAACTTTGTATGAAATAATAATTCTTTTTTACTTCTGGAAAGCATTATTTTAAAACCAATTCAAGGTGTTAAATATATGTCTATGGGAAATATACTCCACTGATACCCTAGTAATTTTCAAGTTAGGAAGAATAACAGATAATGAGAAATTTTCTTACCTCTTTGGTGAGATTTTGAAATGTCACACACATAATGAACATAGGAAGCTATTATTTGGAAGTTCTAAAAGTATGTACATTGTGATGGTGAATTTGTAAAAACACAAATGCAAGCCTGAACATGTATAATTTATATACAATTGTATACTTCTCCAATTCTCACAGTATTTTGTAGACTTCGGTAATAGACTATTTTATAGTCTACTAAGATTTCCATTAGATGGGGAGTTGATGGATAGAGTATTTCTGTATCTGATCAATGTTTGCTAACATTTTCATAATGTGCTTGTTGGAGTACTTGTTTTTGAAAAGATTTTAGTCTGCTCTAGTGTATAAGCGTAGTTAGATAATCACCTATAGTCTCTGGGTGGTGCAAATGCTTAAAGCACTTAGCTGCTAACTGAAAAGTTGGAGGTCTAAGACTACCCAGAGGTACCTCAGGAGAAGGGCGTATTGATCTATTTTCTCAATGAAAAATCAATCATTGAACACTCTGTAGAGCACAGTTCTACACTTCTGAGCTTGGAATCAACTTGAAAGAACATGGTTTGGTTTTTATTTTTTATATAAGTGCCTAATGGCTGTGTTTAAAATAAAGAAATATTATACTGCACAGTCCTGGTGTGGTGCTATAGGATACTCAATGGACTATTAACTGCAAGTTCAGGATTCAAACCCACCAGTCACTCCTCAGAAACCCTACACAGTGTTGATATGAGTCAGAACCAATTCTATGGCACTTAACAGCAAGAACATTCTGCACAGTCAGTTAAAGTAAATAAGAAATATACTATATTTAAGGATGAAGTCATAGAGACAGTAGGAATGGCATAGTTAATTTATATTCACAATACTCTTATGTCTCATTCTATTGAAAATGTAGTTGTTTCTTCCATCAGGCTGATTTAGGGAAGAAAAACTTGCTTTGATTCTTTGCTAGAAATCAAACAGAGCATGGGAAGATTTGCAGAGAGAATATGTGACCATGTTCTTAAAACATAAAAGTAACAAAAATTCAGTGTATTCCATTGTGATTATTTTCCTTGAAGAATGTGCTCCGTTTAAATCCTACATTCCCTGCCAAGATAACATGTTGTCCTGGTGAGATCTGGTCCAAGCTTTGTCTTTTTACTCAACTTGTAAAGAGTTTGTTTTTATGCATTGCAGAACTGGATTCATAGAGTGTTCAATATAACCAAGGGAGGTCGATTATTCTATCTCTGTGTCCTTAGGTACAGACACCTTAACTAACAAGAGAAATTATCATGTCCTTTAGTTTTAAATGACTTCAGAGGAAGTTGAACTGTACCATTTTGTGTGAGATACAACTCAATTCTGTGTTAATGACCTTCACTAGGGGACAGTGATAAATCCCTCATGCTGTCTGTGGTTTTCACCCATGACTTGTGTTTATAAAACTGCAAAAAACAGTCATTCTCCTTTAAGCATTATAGAAACCCTTTCAAATTATGTTGCCACCTGGGTGAGGCAGCATTGCTAATGCCAAATAAAGTGCTAAAAATAAAAATGTTAAGGTCAAGGGACTGAGAAGTATCAAGAAAGATTTTCTGTGAAGTGACTGAGCTTTTAAGAGGCAGCCAATGTGAACATATACAACCTGTGTGATGACTCAAAATGCCAGAGTCCTGTTTATCCTAACATTTCCATGATCCAAGTATGATTGAATATGACATTCTATTGTACACATGATTTATAGACTGTAAGTAATGAAAACATCTAAATGACATTATATGCAGAAAATCTTCTAAGAAGATTTAGGCAGTGTTAAGCATGGTATGGACTCCTGGTGTGGCGCTATAGGATAAGCACTTGACCTAAAGGTTGGTTTGAACTGCAAGGTCAGTGGTTCACCAGCTACTCCTCGGAATCCCTATACCAGGTCACTATGAGTTGGAGCCAAATTGACAGCACACAACAACAACAACAATAAGCATGGTATATACAAACGAGGCAGGGAGGGAAACATAACTCAACCTGAGCATTTTGCTATTGCATGTCACAATGGTATTCACCTAAATAAAGTAGATGATGGTGGATTCAGAGATACCTAAGTTAGTCACAAACACTGTTGTTGTTGTTGTTGTTGTCAGGTGCCATCGAGTCAGAACC